ACAAGAAAATATGACCAAAAAAACCCAAACTGCTTTCATGTCACTTTTCTGATATCATACAACACATTCAAGCTCGCAGACACTGAGGCTACATCTAGACTGCAAGCCTCTTTCAAAAAAGAACGTCTAGACTACAACCAGTACTTTCGATAAAGTAACTGCTTTTTCAAAAGAGCACCCAGGCAGTCTGGATGCTCTCTTTTGAAAAAGCACAGTTTGCATTACATAGCGCCTTCTTTCAAAATAGCACTTTTGGAAAAAGGCGTTCTCTCTCGTAAAATGACGTTTGCCGCGGTTGAAAAAACTGCTGCGTTCTTTCAATTTACTTTTGAAAGAATACAGCAGCAGTCTAGATGCAGGGGAAGTTTTTTTAGAAAAAAGGCCACTTTTTTCGGGGACCCCCACCACCCCGTAGTCTAGACATACTCTGAGTCAGTTATCTGGATGTTGTTCCCTGCTAATTGATACAGAACTAAGGGGGAAATCCCTTCGTCTGTGAAAAGTATCACAATGAAACAAAGTAAAATTATCTTGGCAGCAAATATTAGGAACGGTATTTTTGTGATCTGGTGAAACATTTATCAAGCAACAGAAAACTTAAGTTCTCTCCCCCAACTCAATCATATAATATGAACAATACCTTCACAGGAAAGAAGTTATGGCTGACATTTTCAAAAGCACCTAAGTGACTCAGGAGCACTGGTCACAATGTGACCTGAATGACTGAATATCAAATAAAAATGTATTGTAATAAATCAGTATAAACAGTTTCTAATATAGTCCCCTAGTTTTCTTCTCCACTACTGTAATCCTCTGCATTTAATTCCACTAATCATCCTAGATGCTATTTATTTTTCAAAACTTTTTTGTATATACTTTGTAAAACCAAGATTTACCTCTTGAGAGGCAGGAAAACAATATTTACCATACAAGTCTCCCCTTCTTCCCCACTGTTAACTATAAATTGGATCCTGTACCTATTGAAGGACATAGCAAAGTTCCCATGGGTTTAAATGAATGCAGAATCAGGTCTCAAAAACAGTCACTATGCAAGAATAAATGCCAGGAGAAAATTTACTGTTTTCTACTGTGTAACAAATTCCAAGAAATATATTAAACCTTTTGTAAAGTTTGAAGTTCATAAATAGTTCCTGGTAGGAGGACAAAACTTACTGTTCAGAACATTCTCCAGTTTTTGCGTCATGGATCCTTCTACTTTTTCCGTTCCATCCGCTTCCAGTTTTTGATGGATTGCTAGAATAAAATGTCTAGTTAAAATGCAGACCATTAAATTAAATAGGAATACATTATATCAACGTGATACTTTAAAATAGCTTAGAGTTCTAATTGTTACTTTGACACTGTGACACATTGCATAAATCATTTACTCTGTCCAGGCCTCAGTCCTTCTTCCTCCTTAAGACAATGCTATAAGAGCATTAATTTTGTATAGTATTTTGAAAATATAAATATTACATAAATGCTGTATGTTATGACACTAGAAAGTAAGTTGTAGGTGTAATGCTAACACCACCACAATGCAAGAGGCTCTCTGATATCTGGTAATGAGTTTCAACTGGTCTGACCAGTTCAGAGTACCCTAATTCATGTGTGTTATCTGAAAAGCAATATCATATTGATCTCAAACGTTTTTGTGTGGTGTATATATAGTAAGTTCCTAAGGGACCATATAAATATAAAGGAAATACGAAACTGAATTGTGTTTACCAGACATAAGAACAGCTATACTGGGTCAGAACAAAGGTCCATCTAGACCAGTATCCTGTCATCTGACAGTGGCCAGTGCCTGGTGCCTCAGAGGAAATGAACAGAATAGGTAATCATCAAGTGATCCATAGTAAAGAACAGAATTGTCAGACACATAAATGAACACAGTTTTTTGGGGAAAAGACAACATTGTTTCTGTAAAGGGAAATCATGCCTCATTAATCTACTTCAGAAGCTGCAGGGGGATAGCTGAGTTAGTCTGTACAGGATAAACTTAAAAAACAACAAATGGTCTGGTAGCATTTCATAGACCACGGATGTTGACAGACCAGAGAGGCCTGGATTACAAAGGTTCAAACTGAAGTAGATTAAATTTAAAAAACAACAAATAGTTTGGTAGTCCTTTATAGACTAACAAAACATGTAGATGGTATCATGAGTTTTCGTGGGCACAGCCCACTTCTTCTGATGACTGGAGTTTTGGTCCTAAACTCAAAACTCCAGTCATCTGAAGAAGTGGGCTGTGCCCACGAAAGCTCATGATACCATCTACATGATTTGTTAGTCTATAAAGTACTATCTGACCATCTGGTTTTTTTTTAAATTTAATCTACTTCAGTTTTGAACCTTTGTAATCCAGGACTCTCTGGTCTGGCAACATCTGCGGTCTACCAGGACCACAGATGTTGCCAGACCAGAGAGTACCAGTGCAGAGGTTACCTGTGGCTGGCAGCCTTCAGAGCCAGTAGGCTGGGGCAGGAAGCTTGGTCAGTGGGCTGGCAGCAAGGAGCAGGGACCCACAGCAGAGTGAGGCCAGTGGCCAGAGAGAAGCAATAGTAGGTGATTTATAGAAAGCTTGTCAGCTATGGTCTCATTTCCAGTGAGAAAAGCAGAAATGACAGAATGAAATTAAAAGAAGAGCAAATGAAGAAAATACATGTAGCTTTTAAAAAAAATTTTTTTAAAAATTACGGATAGTTAAAAATATAATGTTTTCCCTAATATTACTTGTATATGTAAATCTATTCCTGCAGTTGCCGGTGCGGGACTATCATTAATGGGAGAGCTGGTGATCTATGAAACCACAAATAGGAAAGTGAAGGTTGATAAAACAATGTCTAGATGAAGATACAGTCCACACTATGAAAGTGTTTGAGACCCCTTGCTACAGATTACCCAAACTTTGAAATCGGTGTAACTATGGCAAAAGCTGTCACATTTTAAAAACTGGGACATAGGCAAAGAGAGGAAATCTACTTGATACAAGCGTTTTGTCAGGGTTTTAGATTGCAGAGTGGAGGGAAAGTCTGTCTGGAGTAAGTGAGATAGTGGTGATTTGGTTCCATACATATCAATTAATATTTTTGTTTGGACTAATTTTGCACAACTAGTTCAGCTAAGTCACTTTAAACACAGTGTTGATATAAATAACTTCAATATGCATACTACACAGGCACCAACACATCTTCACTTTCCATATTAAAAAACATCTTTATTTTTCATCTAACTATATTTTCAGATTTAGTTATATGTCCACTGCCAATAGAGAATGATGCACATACCAAATTTTAGGTTCAAGATTCAAACATTTTTGAGTCTTCAGAATGCAAGAGTCTCTGAAGGATTTATCATAAAGATGATTAAAAACATGTGTTCATTATAAAGTAACTAAAAAACAGCTGAAATATTGTATTCACACACAGAAACTGAGAAAACACTTATTGCTCTTAGGCCTAGGAAAAGAAGTGCTACCTGGACAAATTTCTTACTTGCCACACAAGAATAACAATGAAGTTCATGAATGTGCTAAATGACACCATGCAAACAAGGGTAGTCAGAGCAGTTCAGTGGGACTGGAGAAAAAGAAAATAGAGAAGCCTCAAGGACAAAGGGAAGATATGGAGTTAGACACAACAAATCTAAGATGCCATTGAGAGGGATAAGAGTAGCCTCATGATAAGAGGCTCTGGAAAAAAATTCAGGAAAAAACTGTTTTTCTTTTCCGTGGGTCTCCACTCCCTTCCTTCCTTCCCCTCCCGAAGCCTGATATGGAAAATTGGAAATTTTGGGAGAAATGGAAAATAAATTTTCATGTGAAATATTGTGTGTCAGAATGAAAAAATATTAGCGTAATATATAAAATATTATTACTGCTGAACTTCAGTATACTTCAAAATACTTTCTAACAACTAGTAAATGAAGTTATTTTATTTCAAAACAATATTGTTAAGCAATTACATTTCTATGTACTGTAGAACTACATACTGTATGCATCTATGTAATCCTCTGGGGCATATTATTACAGTCCCCAGTCAGTAGGCAGTGCTATCATTTTTACCAGAGAGCAAGAAGTGAAGTTTGATATGGAGACAATGTGAGCAGGAAGAGAAAAGCAGCTGCTATCCTGAAGCTGCTGCCCTCCTGACAGGCCCAATGGAGCAGTCCATTCTGCTTTCCTCAGCAAATTAGAAGATTCACACCTTGTGTCCTGCTGGGGAAGATTGTCTACTTGAGTAGAACCAGTGGAGGAGAGGCCTGTATCTGTAAGGGATTGGAAGAGAATCTTGAGGGACCACAATGGAGCCTATCTCAGAGTCATGATCATGACATCCACAGGAAGAACAAAACACGCCCATCTGTAGCCAGACAGCCCTCCCCATCTCAAACAATCTTGCTTGCCCTCTGAGATGTCTGTATACAGAGAAGAGAAGGAACAATAAGAAGATCAGCATAGCCATTAAGCTTTGATCTGCTTTGACCAGGATATGCAAGTTTCTGACTCTGAGTAACGATTAAGGAAATAAGCTAAGCTCGAGGCTGCAAGAAGTGTCAGGCTGGCACCTATGTTGATTCGAACACACACAGTCCCTGGGAGAGGAATTTCCCACTGAAAAAAGAATGTCCCGTACTTCCAATTTAATCATCTCAATTCTCTCTTACAAGTGTAAATTAAGTTCACAACTCCCTTGTAAGAACTGGTCTCACAGCAGACAGACCAGCATCAATTGGCATTACAGATAAGAAAGAGAAAATACGTGACCCAATGGGTATATAAGATGGGTCCAGCACACACTCACTTTGAGTGTCAATCTACCATTTACCTGCTGGTCGGGTTAGGTGTTTGACCTCCCAAGGTCCACGGGGACGCCCACCTCGTATTTTCGTCTTTCCGAGGAATTGAGGGACCGATCCTGGCCTGACACGCTGGGACCGAGTGACGCAGAAAGGGGTAAAAATTGTACCTGTATGTGTCCTTTTGTTTTAGTGCATGCATAGAATAGAGCTCTTTAAAGATTAAGTTGTCATTTGGTACCATTATTTTCTATTTTCTATCTTTATTTTCCTTGTAACCATTTTTTTTAAGATCTATATCTATATCTATATTTGCCAGCAGTTAAGAAATAGAACAATAGCCATTGCAACCACATGATTTATAAGCTTCCTCAAATAAACCTGTAACTGTTTAAGCTTTAACCTGACCCCTTCAGTTGCTGTAACAGAACCAAGCACAATTTAAAAGAACTTCAGCCGGTCATAAAGGGACAGATATAGGGAGAGCTTGGGGGTTTGGATTTGTGTCACACCCAGGTGGCAAAATTCAGTTGGGGCGCTTCTCAGTCTCCCCGAGGCTGCCCGCTGCGAAGGAATTATGAAATTCTAGCAGCTAAAATCTGAAGCGTAATAAGCTCTTCCTGTACACACTGGGGCGTCTGTTACACTCACTGCCCTGACCATCGGTTGGCAGAATTGGGGCACTCGTCAACCTCCTCCAGGTTGCCTGCTGCAAGGGACCCCGGTCTCAGCAGTTGAAGTCTCGGGTGTATAGCACACACACACACACGCACACACTGCCCTGACCGTCGGCTGACACCATCACACAGAAGTTCTTCTTATTTTTAGCTTCTCTCTCAGTAAGGATGGCACTACAGTCTTCTAACATATGAAAGCATTTCCATGATAGAAGTCATTGAGATAAAAAAAGGATGTGCGTTTTGCACATATTGACAAATGAAATTTGCATTTCCAAATGTCACCAGAATGAACAAATTTCATCAATTTGCTGAATCAGGGGAGGTCAATATTGTCTAGTAGCATTACCAACACTTCTAAGAACCTAGTAATCAGTGGAAGACATTTCAGGGCAAATTAGAGCTAAATAACAGCAAAGAACACTGAGAGCTAGGATGGGTGGCTGTAAATAAACTTAATGGAGCTGTGGGAAACTTGGCCACACCCATGATACGTGGACATCTGGCTAATTGAAATCATGCTGGACCATGGATGTTGCCAGACCAGAGTGCTGGACTAAAGAGGTTCAATCTATACACAATAATGAATATATAAAAACATACTCATTTTTAGCACATTTTCTCTAGAAATGTTTCTTCCTCATGTACTTCACAATATCAGATCTTGATTTACAGACTATTTTACATATTAAGTTACCTCTCCCCCATTTTAGAGAGATGTCAAACAGCAAAAAAAAAAAACAACAACAATGAAACCTAAGCGTCATAGTGAACAGC